AAGGAAGAAGCAGGGGGAGGAGAAAGAAAGGAATACCACAAGACTACTCAGCAATCCCGTTTAACATGCGTTTCTTTTTCTTTTCTTTTTTCTTTTTTTGGTGTGTGATACGCATTCAACACGCGCAATCGTATACAGACAAAAATAAAAGGAAGGCGGGGAGGAGGGGGGAGGAGGGGGGGAGGGAGGGGGAGGAGGGGGCGGAAATCTTCAGAGTCAGCGTCGCAGGAAGCTGAAGAGACAGGAGGAGAATGGCAACGCGTAATGCACGAACGCGGGAAAAAGAGAAAGGAGGGGACAGAAAAAAAAAAATAATAGTCATAAAAATTAAAAAAAAATAATAGTAATAAAAATAAAAAAAAATTGAAATCTTTTGAATTTTCTCAGAAGCAGGTCCGGTTATAACGACGGGGATTCCTCATTCACCAAATTAACAACGGGGACAGAATAAGGGTGCTCTTTTCAATTGGGAAAATAAGGTGCTCTTCTTAATTGGGAAAAAAAAAAAAAAAGGATAGAGATAGCAAGAAGAGGAGGTAATTGCGGAACGCAAGAAGGAAGGCCACAGGGCTCATCTTCTTACCCTATCCCTGTTTGTTTGTTTGTTAGTTTGTTTGTTTTCTTAAGAACATACCACTTCATTATTGAACAACATTTGAGACGAGGCCGGGGGTTGAATTGTGAGGACCCTATCACTGTTTACGAGGTCAGGTTCTTTTTCTTTTTTACTGTAATACAGGAGAAAAAAGTCATGAATAGATTGAAAATCGAGGCCGGGGGGGACCTCACAATTCGACCAGGGGCGAGGTCCCACTAGCAAAGAGGATGGGATTGAATGCCTGCATCTGGACGTGTTTGTGAAAAGGTGCAGATATAGAGATTGAACTGGTTTTCTGCACCTCTGCTTAAAACACGTCCGGATTCAGGGAGCTCAATCCAATCCCCTCGTTGCTACCGTCTTCACCCGAATACAACGCCCAGTCATTATCGCTGTACCTAGACTGCAAGTTGAACCAGATACGGATATAATGACGGGGCGTTCTATTAGGATGAAGACGGTAGGGGGACCTCGCCGCGGGTCAAATTATAGCCGTATCTGGTTCAACTTGCAGTTTAGGTACAGCGATAGTTATCCTGGCAGCCATTAGCCAGTTTCGCTTAAGACGCGATACGCGGTCAGCTTTCATTTACGGTACACAATTTGTTTTAATTTTTTTTTTGCGTGTAATTCTTTTGTGAAAGAATTTTGTTCGTCTCAAGGAACCCTCTGGACGTGATTGCAATCAGATTCATTCATGTCTGGCCGTAATTGAAGCCAGATACATTTAAGAAAGTGGTTAGTGTGAGTATGCCCTAATACTGCAATTTACTGTATCTAATCTCCTTT